ACATAACGCCGCTCGCATCATTCACAGTCGGGTTATTAGCAGAGAACACAGAGCAGGTCTTGAATTTCAGGCGCAGGATTGCGGCTATTAATAATAATTATACTCATTCCCGCAGGTTCCGCGCTTATAACACGATGACAGATGACGGAACTCATTTGCACGTACTTTTTGAGTCTTGAGAACTCTCATTTTCTGTGCGCCCACAGATCGCGATAAGGAGAGTGACAGATTTGAATAATTATTCAAGGAGTTTGCAAATGTGATATTGATTAAATACAACAGTTCAATAAACACGTACTGCCTCTGTAATGCGTAATGACTCAGATAAATACAGCCTTATCTGCTGTTCCCCACTCTATTGCATAATGGACTTATATTTGTTTTTTTTCTGCTTAACAGACCAGTGTATTTCCTTCCTTTTTTCTTTCACAGTCAGTAATCTCATTTAGTCCAAGTCAAAGTGCCACAATCACTTAGCTTAGAGTAGTGTGTTAATTCTATTACTTAGCTAAGTTACTATAAAAATAAGAAGACTAGAAAATTGTAAGATTTTTTAAAATGTTTTTAGAGGAGGCTCTTATGCTGACCTTTTTGATTCAAACGGGAAGAAATTTATGTGTGGAATGGCTTGTATTTGTCTTACTCATTTCGCTCTCTCAGTTTTCTCTTTCTTTCTGTCTCTCTTGCTCCTGTGGTGTAGACGTCACAGCTCCTTCTGTTCTAACTATGCTGATCTACTGTAGGCTCCATCAGACCTGTCTGCTCCAATCACGGAGTCCTGGAGAGTGTGTGTGTGTGTGTGAGCGAGAGAGAGAGAGAGAGAAAGAAAGTGAGCGCATTCACCTGTCAGCATGAGTGTTTGTGTATCCCAACATCCTATTGGCCGTAGATACACATTCTAATATCGTTATGTATATCTCCTCTATAGGCAGATTGCTTGACGGCACGAGTCTCTTTCTGAGTCTGGCGTGTTTGGTTCATGAGGACCATGCTACATCTGTGCTAATTAAAGCAAAAGACATGCAGCTGAGCAAATGGACGCCGCAAGGCACCATCACAGATGTCTGAACAGAGAAAGTGTGGAGGATTTGATAGGGAAAAATCTGTAGACTCCACACAGAACGTCTCCCTCATTCTCATTCACCTAGACGACCCACTCATGTAATGAATAGCAAAATATACCTTAGAAAACAATTTATCTTTTATTTTTATTTATTTTTATATTTTAATTTATAATGTTTTTAATAAAAGTTCATAGCACAACAGCACTGTAATTTAGGGGAATATAGTTATTCCCCTTGTGTAAAAGTCTTAAATTTGTTAACATCCGCAAGTAATTTCTGGACGTTTTGGCTACGCTGGAGCCGGTCCCTCAGAGAGCCTCCCCTCTGTAAATGATAGCAAAAGCTGAACTCTTATTAAAGAAAAAAATAAAAATAAAAGCACGAAATCCGGTCTCTTTCAGATTTAAACTCGATATGAAGCATATTGCTTTAATTTGTTTTGGCAGAAGGTTCTGCAGAAAAGTGAGTTTCCTGTTTTTGAAAAGTTTTTGGGAGAGTTTTTGATTAGTGCTTGTTTGGCTATATAAACCATGTTAGTAAAGAGCTAAAAATTGTTTCACAGCTTTTACTTAATTGGCATGGACTTTATTTTGTTTTATTTTTTTATTTAAT